GACACGTTCTCAGCCAGGGCTCACCTCTCGGCTCTGTGCCCGGGTTCGGGAGGGTTGAGGGTGGGGGCGACCAAGACAGCTGGCGCTCCCCTGGGGTTACTGCAGAAGTGAAGGGCGCCTGGTCCCGGCATAAAAAGAAAAAGAAGTTACGTCCAAGATGCCGGTGCTGGGGACTGGGGTGGACTGGCCACATGCAAAAATGGCAGGAAGGAAACTCCCGCGGGAGTGTCAGGTCTGTGCTGAGGTGCCCTTGATGTTTTGGGGGCCTTGAAGGGGCAGGGGCAGGAGGAGCCCCAAGGCGGGGGGGGGGGGGGGGGGGGGGGCTGGCGGGGGCCTGGGGAAGCCATCCTCTCCCCAACCCGAAACCAGAGCTCCAGGCATTAGTAGGAAACCCAAGTGGCAGGAGGATCGCATTTCAAAAGCTCAATAGACTGGCTGCCCAGCCTCGTTGGACTAGGACAGGGCCAGGGGAGCTGACGGGCGGGGATGGTACCAATGCCCTCACTAAGCTCCCATCGCCCCCATCCCAGTGGCTGCAGCCCAGCTGCGCGGTCCGATCCGAGCCGCACAGGCCGCCTGATTCATCCCAGCCTCCATGCAGAAAGCCCCAAGGAGGGTCTTGGGAGCGGAAAAGAGGGTCCCCGACTCCCTACCCGAGCCTCGCGTGTGTTGTTTCACCCGGCGCAGGCTGCAGCCAGACCCTGGCCTGCGCTCTCTAGGGGGTCCGGGGCCTACAACTGTGAGGGGCTGGGGAACCTGGGCCAGGCTGTCACAGAACCAGGCGCCCTGTTTCTTAGGGCGGGAGCTGCACCCCCTCTCCTGCTTCTCCGCAGAACCTGTCTCCCTGGTAGCTGAGCCCTGGGCTCCCAGCTGCAGCCAAGGAGCTGAGAGAAAGAGGCCAAACTGAATTTCCTTAGGACCTGCAAGCTGGTCCTGGCGCGGGCTGAGACCCCCACTGGCAGTCCCAGGCCTTCCCACAGCAAATGCTCGGGCCTGGGGGGAGGGGGCGGGTCCCAGGCGGATGGAGAAAAGCCCAGACCCCACAGCTCCCGGACCGGGCAGAGGGAGCACCTGGGGTCAGTGTGGTCGCCCCACCTGCCCTGGCCCACGGGGCTCTGCGCTGCTGAGATCCCCACTCCTTGGCAACACGCAGGAAGATCCCTGGGCTCTGCTCCGGTGCCTGGCCGCAAGCATTTTTTAAAAAAATAATTCTTTATTGTTGAGGCCACAGGCATTTTTAATGGGGTTTGTTCCCTTCCACCTGGGGCGTCATCTGCTTGGGAACAAAGGACCGTCCAGTTTTCAGGGCATGGGGTGGGGGGGTGGGGAGAGGGACATGGAGTGGGATGCTCGAGTAAAAGCTTCCCCTTCACACTTACCCTGCAGATGGCAGAAGAAATTAAAAGGAAAAGCTAAGGGGATACACACCCAAATCGGAACGCGCCCAAAGATTTCTCTGCACCCGGACCCTACAGGTACCTCCTCCTCCTGCTCCCCCTGAACCAGGAGCCCTGGTTAGGGTGGACCCTGGAGCCCACTGCGGTTTCTCCAATACTCTGGGTAAGTGACTCGCTGTTCCCTGCCTCGGTTTCCTCCTTTGTAAAACAGGCGTAAACGCCGCACACGCCTGCAAGGGTTAACTGGGAGAGTTAAAGGAGACCCCTTTTGTGGCACGCGCACGTGGCCCTTCCGTGCCAGCTATTTTTATTGTTGTTATGTGTACTTTGAACGCCAACATCTGCAACATATATACGTCTTGATTATACGCATCTTGATTATAAAACAACCAAAGGCATCGACATCCGGAACTGTCTTGGGCATGAACTTCCAAATGCAAATTGGAAGAGACGTCCCCAGATGGAGCGCGCACACGGGCACGCGCGCCCACGCGCCCACTCCTGACACCTGTGTAGCCGGCCCCCTGAGCGCACGCCCCGCGCCTACCCTCGGGGAGAGGCCACAGCGAGGAAGAGCAGAGTCCCGGTGGCGGCTCGCGACCTCGCGTCTACACCGGCCCACAGCCACCCTCTTGGCCGGTCGCCGCGAGGTCAGACTTGGAAACCAGCGACGCAGAAAGCGCAGGGACCCGGAGCGTTCCAAGCCGCTCGCCGCCCGAAGGCGGCGGCTTGTCTGCCGGCGGGGGGGAAAGGTCACCGGGAGGGTTTTCCTTCTTGGATGGAATTGTTTTAACGGCCTCCGCGCCACAAAGAACCGGTGGGTTTCAGGACAGAAGCAGAGGGAGGCTCTAGCCACACTCACACACATGCACGAGTGCACACACACTCGGCTCCGGCGGGCTAGCCGGGACCGGGAGGAGGGACGCGGGGTCGTGACCCCTGCCACTGCCGGGGCGCGCCCTTCGGCCCCTGCAATTAGCGCCGGGAGGTCAGCAGGAACCCGGACGCCTCCACCCGCGGCTCCAAGCGCAGCAAAGGCGACCCCTTTCCCTCCCCCGCCGCCAGTCTCAGACGCCTGGGCGCGAGCAGGCTTGGAGCCGGCCTTCCCAAGGGGCGGGGGCCGGAGGGCGCGGGCCGGCACCCGTATTTGTCACCTTCAATCTACAAATCACCAGGTCGCTAGGCCTGCGGGCGGCAGCCCCTGACCCTCGCCCGGGCCATTGCGGACTGCTGCTCCCGCCAGCAGTGGCCTTTGTCCCTTAGACTTGGTCAGTGGAAAACACCGAAAAGAAAACAACCACCCAGAGTTATAAAGTAATAAAGGCAGCGCATCGAGGCCAAGAGCTGCTGCATCCAGGTAGAATCCGAGTGGTGGATATCGGAGACAGGGCGTCCCGCCTCTCCATCTACCCGGCATGAGCTCAGGTTGGTCCCTGACCCCTGGGTCGGGGGAACTGCTGGCGATTTCCACCGCGAGCAGCAAAGGACTTGGCGAGAAAATTGGGGGAAAGAGTCCCTCATTGAATTTCCTTGCGCTCCTTGGAAACCCAGAGGCGGGAAGGACTGGTTTTCTCATCTGAGGTCCCAGCAGGAGTGAAAGTGATATTCAGGAAAGAGATGACTGACTGCAGCTTCTCCCGAAGCTGGGGGCCGGGGCGGGGGAGCCGTGGGAGAGGAGGCGCGGGTTGGGGGTGGCGAGGAGGAGAAGGGGCAGAGGGGACGTGCCCCGGTTCCGGGACCCGGGAGGCGCCGGGGTGCGGAGCCAGCCGCGGCCACCGGGGCGCATTCGTGCGCCAGACAGATAGGTGGCACTCGAAGCCTGGAAAAAGGGCGAAGGCGCCGGCTCCGAGTGGCCTCCGCGGCCGCCGCCGCCACCATAAAGCCCGCGGCGAGATTGCGACCGGCGCCAGGTGAGTAATAGGCAACGAAATCCGGAGAGATTGCGAGCCATTCACCCCCCGTCCATCAGCGCCACAAGAGTTACTCATTAACATCACTATATACAAATAAGATACAAAGGAGATTAAAAAAAAAAAAAAAAGAAAGAAAACCCTGCCCACGGTGGGAGAGGCCGGCAGCACGCCCGAGCACTGTCCGAGCATTGGGGGGTGGGGGTGGGGGTGGGGGGAAGGTGAGGAGGAGGCGAGCATTTCTGCGGATCTGGGCCGGGAAAGAAAAGCATTCCTTCCCTCTTTGAGGCCGAGGCTGTCTGCGCCCCTGCTCCCCACTCGGGAGAGCGCCTCTGGGCGCGCCGGCCGACTCGCACCTCCCAGGGGCGCAGCCCGCACGTCGTCTCGGGGCCAGCCACGGGCGCGCCCTGGACGCCTCCGGGCCTCGGGGGAGCTCGCTCCCCAAGGTCCCCAGGCCCCGCACCGCCCGTCCCCCGGTCGTTTTCCCTCCCACCGCGGGACACAGAGCAGGGGAGGCTGCGGGGTCCCCACGTGCCCGCTGGAGAGGGAGAGGGCTTTGCTCCGCTCTCCAGAGGTCCTGACCTCCACCCCCTCCCAAGTGCAGGATGGAGGAGGGGAGGGGTCCTCTCGCCGGCCATTCCAGAGGCTGGAAGGTGACAGGGACTTGGGGCCGGGCTGGCGGGCTCCAAGGAGGGGGAGGGGGAGGGGGCAGTCAGGCCGGCTCCGGCTGGGCCCTCACGTCACAGCCCTCAGGGCAAGAAAGGCCTGGAGAACCTTCCCGTACATGCCCCCCCACCCCTATCCCCCCCCCCCCACATACACACACACACACACAAACACGCACCTCCGAAATGCAGCTGGGGGTGGGAAGGCCAGGAGACCAAAAGACTGTCGCTGCCTCACCATTTTTTATTGAATGTTTCAAAGATAAATTGAACTTCAAAAGGCAACTCCTCGAACAGCCTGGAGGCTGGCTGGAGGGGAGAAGCGGAGGAGGGTGCGGGCCTCCTGGGTGACTTTCCCCTTGGAGGGGGTCAAACGTGCGCCCTGGGGTTGCCCTTCCCGGCGCGGAAGGCCGGCCTCCCCCCTCGCGTGACACAGCCGAGCTTGGCGGAGCTGGCCGCGCTCTGCACGCACGACTTCGGGCCGGGGCCTCGCCGGGGCGCCCTGGGTCAGCCGGGCCCCCTCGGAGTCACCGGGGACCGCCAGGGGGACTGGCTGACAACTGGGGTGGGGGTGGGGGGTGGGGGTCGCCGCCTGGCCAAGCCGCGGCTGGCAGCGGAGATTCCGCGAGGGGGAAAGGGAGAGGGAGGCTGAAACGAAAACGTACGCAGTCCTCCAGCGTCTTTGCGGTCGGACTCGTGTGGGAAACACTGACTTGGGGAGGGGAGCATTCTTTTCCCATTAAAACTGAAGTATCTGAAATTGCTATTCTATCCCGTTCCAATCAGCCCCCTTCCGTCTCTCGTCCTGCTCCCTAATTTAAAGGAAAAGTAGTTTCAGATTGGGGCGGCCGGCTCCCCTGGCGGAGTCAGGGACTTTTGTTTTTAGCTTTGTAACTTGAGTGACATCTCATTTGGGTTCGGTGGGGGCGGTCTTAATTGCTTAAAGGCGAAGGGAAGAGGGTAGAGGGAGGCAGGAGAGAAAGATGCCCAAGTTCCCTAAAGAAAGCACGTAAGGAACAAGGCCCAAAGACATTTCAATAAAAATTTATTGAAATTTCAATGACGTTTTCGAGGGGGAGGGATGATACAGAAAACCAAAGAACTCATCGATTATAACACAAAATATACCTTCATGAGCTTTTGTCTTTTAAACCATCTCAGCACCTGACTTTTGAACTGTGAATAGATCTCTCTAAAGGCACCAATGCAAAACAATAGTGAAGACAGTAGTCAATTCCACTGCGTTTGGACAATATCAGAGACTAGCAGATACAAATACAAGAGAAAAATTAGGAAGTCAAGCCGCAGCCTCGGCAACCCCCACCCCGAGGCCCCCCTCCCCCCCCAAGCAACCTCAGAACCACAAGGTGGGGTGTTACATTTTAAGGAATTTAAGGTGGAACTGGGAAGTGGCACCACCACCTCCCCAATTCTGGGTAAAACAGGCAATAACACTTTCTCTCACTCTTGGACATTAAGATTTTTTTTTTTTTTTTTTTTTTTGCGCACAACCATTTAGAAAGTGGTTGGTGTTGGTGCAGAAAGTGTTTCCTAGTTCCAAAAGCGATCCTGTGACCTTGAAATAAAACCGCCTGCAGGGAATCCACACAAACCTGGACAGCTGCGGATCCTATTTACAGAGCTATGTACAATGTCAATAAATTAAAGTTTAATTTTCCGAGCATTCATATTCCATCTATTTACAAGAGTTATCAAATAATTACATAAATACTTTGCTAATAGTCTCGCTTCTTCTTTATTATTTTTTTTTTTAAACCTTGTTATTGCATATACAGGAAAGAGAAAGAACCGCCAGAGAGAGAGAGAGAGACAGGCAGGCAGGAATCCTGCTATGGAGCTCAGAGAAAATAAACTCATGTTTTCGTGTGTCTTCCCACCCCCTTCCCTTTCAATCGGCCGCCAACGAGAGCTGGGGAGGGGGTGTGGGACCATGTTCTTTCCCCTCTAAAAGCAAGCATTCAAAAGGAAAAACCACAAGTATATGGCTGTGGGACATGCAAGAAGAGGCCTACAGTGGCTCTTAAAACATCACAATATGAAAAAAGACACAGATTATCTTAAGAGACTAAACATGGTGGGCTGGGGCTCCCCACCCCCACCCCGAAACAATGCTGCTTAGCCATTTATTGAGAACGGATAGGCAAGTCACTAAAAAGTTTTCATCTTTCACAAACAGAAATCATGTTAATGTACTCATTTGCCCCCGGTATATATATATATATATATATATATATTTTTTTTTAATTTTACTTGTTTTTGTTTCCACTGGACACGGTGAAGGAAAAAAATATATAAAATCTGCACTGGGAGAGAAACTTTTCAACACCCTCCCCGCCCCCCACCCCTCGGGCCTGGCTACCTTTCGGGCCCAGGCCCCCACCCAGACCAGCCTCCGGGAGGTGCTCTGGACAAACCAGTTTTAACTCCCACCCCCACCGGCTCCGTGCAACAGACGGTTCTCAGCCCCCAGGACCTGCACCAGGTCCCGGATATATAAACCACGCCAAGGAGACAGGGCTTGTTTCTAGCACATTCTCTCCGGGAGCCAGGCACCCCTTCCCAGGCAGGACCGCACAAAGCCGGGGCCAACCCCACCGCCCGCGCGCGCGCCCGCGCCGGGGTTCAGTTTACATCCCACAAAGTGCACTGCAGACGGGACGGGACGGGACTGGAATGAAGAGTCTTTGCTGGGGAGGGGCCTACGGGGACGCGCTGCGGGACCTGTCGGGCTTGGCCTCCAGGCCGCTGACCAGCCGCTGGATGCTCTGCAGTTCGCTGGTGGCCGCCTCTTTCTCGGGGCAGAGTTTGGGCGACAAGGACACGGAGCTGGAGGAGAGGGTGGAGGAGCGGCTGTTGAGTTCCGAGCCCGAGTCCACGGCCACCGAGGCCGGGCTGGCGGCCAGCGCGGCGGCTTTGGCGTCCAGGGGCCCCGCGGCCGCGGCCATGGACGGCAGGGCAGTGGTGAGCAGGCTGCTGCCGTCGGGCACCGGCACGGGGATGGAGTAGGGGCTGTAGCGCAGGCGCGGGCGCATGGTGTTCAGGTTGAGGAAGGGGTGGCGGTGCACGGAGCTGGAGGCCGCGGCGGAGGAGGCGGCGGCCGCGGCGGCCATGTACGTGTAGGGGTAGGGGAACAGGCTTCCGAAAGGCGACATGGCCAGGCCCTGGGGAGGGAAGAGAAACGCGGGCAGCGAGTCAGCGAGGAGGGAGGAGCCAACCTGGGCTGCTCCCCCCGACCCCGCCCCCACCTGGGGACCTCCAGCAAGTGAGCCAAGTCCCGGTTGTCTGCGGGGGGAGGGGGAGCGGGCTGGAGGTGGAGGAGGGGGAGGCCACTCAGACTTATTTTTCTAGATCTACATCTTAGCTGTGTCACCTAGCGAGGTCCTCCCCTCCATGTGCCTCAGCTTTCTCATATAAAAAAAGAACAACAGGGAAACAGTAAATAATTCATATACTATCGGGAACTTTGTGGACATTAGTTGAGCTAATGCCTTCAATATGCTACTCAGGTGCCTGGCCAACAGGACTGACAGACATGCTCCCTCAGGGTCAGTTGTTGCACCTGTTAAATGGGGCTATGGTCAGTCCCCCCCCCCCCCCCCATGGTGGCTGAGTATGAACCAGAGGGCATACATTATTAGGCACAATTATTTCTCATTCTTGGTCCCCTCCAGAACCCTTCCACTCCAACCCTAGAAGTTTCACAAAGCAAAAAACAAAACAAAACAAAAAAAACACACACACCAAAAAACAAACAGGGAAGATCTCAAGCAGAAGAAAACTGGGGAGGGAGAGGAACACAGTGTTTGCTACAAACAGAGGCAGGAAGTCGCCCAGCCTGCTATGCTGGTGTCACAGGTAGAGAAACTGAGGCAGGCCCTGGGGGCACAGGAACTCTCGAGCTAGCAAGTGGCAGAAGCAGAGTGTAAAACCCAGGGACCTGTCTGGGCCACGTCTCTGTCCCCTGCCTGGAGGTGCCACTAGTGCTGGAGTGCCCACAGATCACCTGCCCACCTGCGGCCTGGTCTGCACGAGGGGCCAGCGGAGGAGAAGGCAGGAACTGAGAAAGGCCAGAAACCAACCCTTTTTTCCTCAGTCCCCTCCTCCCCGCAGGGAGGGAGGCAAATCCGGCCTCTTGGCTCAGGGAAGGGAGACGAATGTGCTCAGACAAAACACAAGGCCGGGCGTGCAGAAAGCCTCACGGAACCTTTTCACCAGTTCAGAGTGTTTCCCAGCGGCCAAGCCTTCCCTGGCCACCCCGTGCCCCAGCACAGCTGTCTGCTCCACACGGAGGCTGCCAGGCTGCCCCTCAACCCCGACATTTCCCACGTGTGCACACACCATTAACCCTTTGGGGAACAGGCTGGCCTGTTTGGGACGGGAGCAGGGGAAAAGCTTCAAAGGGGAGGAAAGGCTGGGGGGGGGGCGGGTTGAGAGATTCAGTGCCCATCCCCAGGGAGTCACTTCCGCTCCCCAGGCCTCGGTCTCTCCCTTGTCTGATTGCAGCGCTGAAGCTAAAATCACAGACGCTGGAAAAGGCCCTGGAGTCAGGCTGCCTGGGGTAGAGCCTTACTCCACCACCTACCCGCTGTGTGGCCTTGGGTAAGTTGCTCAGCCTCTCTGGGCCTCATCTATAAAGTGGAGGGGATAACGGGACCACAGAAAGAATAGATCAAGTACTCAGAAGAGTACCTGGCACAACGTTAAGTGCTGTGTATAGTTATTATTACCACCTACCTACCTACTCTGCTATAAACATCCCTTAACTTAGAAAAAATTTAAGTATTGGGGAGGGGGCAGTGTCAGGTTGTGATGAATCTAGGAGATACACCTTGCACCTAGCAATTATTATCATTTAAAGTTACTAGACCAGAGGGACTGGGGGAGGGGCTGGGGAGGAGGCAGGAGGACGGAGCATAAATACCTGAGAGGCCAGGACGTGCTGCTGGAGGTGGAAGGGCAGGGTGGCCGCAGACGCCCCCGACAGTCCCTGCGCCGCGGCGGAGGCCATGGCCGTGGAATCCAGGCCCGACACGCCGGTGGAGGCCCCGGACACGGTGGCCAGCAGGGGTCCCATGCCCGCGGCCATGCTGGAGAAGGCGCCCCCCATGGCGAACTGGCTGGGGTGCAGGAAGAGCGGGTGCCCGTTGAAGAACTGCTGGCCCGCCAGGCCGGGGGCGAAGCCGAGGCCGGGCAGGGGGCCCTGGCCCAGGTGCGCGGTGGCCGCGTCCGTCTGCACCGTGAGCGGCGCGAAGGCCTCCTTGGCCGGCAGCGCGCGCGCCTCCTCGGCCTTGGACGTGGCGGCGCCCTCCCGGCCCGGGCTCCGGCGCTCCTCCGCGCCCAGGCCGCGGGTGCTGGACGAGATGGTGGCCGGGCTGTGGCGCGAGTCGGGCGACGCCTTGTCCAGCCGCCCGCTGTCCCGGGGCCGGCCGCCGGGCTCAGCCGCGAAGAGGTGCGCCTTGGCCGCGGGGCTGCCCTTGTCGCGGCTCGGCTCCTCCGACGTGGTGGTGGAGATCTTGGCCGCGTCGCAGGCCTCCGGGCCGTGTTCCTCTTTGCTCTCGGCCTCAGCGTCGCTCTCACCCTCGCTGGGACACAGATCTGCCGAAGGAGGGGGACAAGAGCGTGGCGGAAGGGCGTGAGCTCCAATCTGGGCCCTGGAAGCCAGCTCCCCAGGATGAAACCTGGCTCAGCCACTCACTAGCAGGGGAACACCCCGCAAGCCCCTTAACCTCTCTAGTGCCTCAGTTTTCTCATCTGCAAAATGGGAGCGGTGATCCTCCCCAACTTCAGTGGAAAGATTCAGAAAGCTAATAATGAAGATAGACCGCCCCCACCCCCACCCCCACCCCCCCCACCGACACCTCTCTCAACTGGTAATGGATTTTACTTTTTTTTTACTGGCAGGGATTTGGCTCCTACTGCTGTCAGACTGCCTTTACTTGCCTTTCAATTGCAAATTTCTTTTAAATAACAAGGACTCCCACTAAAACTCACTGTGGGAACACCCCCTAGCCACCATCCGGGTCTTTGTTTAGTGGCTGATCAGTGCCTTCCACAAATTTGTGAATTCTTGGGGAAGGATTTGTTTGGAGAGAACCCTGACACCTGAATTGGTGGTGGCAGAAACGCACTCCCTGCCCCCAACACACACACTCAGGGGAGCCTCTGACTGCCCCATCCCTGCAGACAGAGATGGGTGCTGGGCAGCCCCCTCCCTGCCCCCTGACAAGCATAGGTTCCTTTTGCTTTCACCACACCCTCGGTGGGTGTCCCACCAGAAAAAGAAAAAAAAAAAAAAGGCAAAGGCATCTTATGTTATGTTTAAAGCTTAAATGGATTGAAGACATAAAGGACTTCCATTTGATGAAACGGAAAAACAGGTCTCTTCCCGTTTCGAGAGCGTGCGTGTGTCTTTCCAGATAAATAGTTCTTTGCTCTTTAAACACAGGAAACGGACTGGGGATTTGAACCATCCCGTCCCCTCCCAACCCCTCCCCTCCCTCCGGGACTCGCACCCCGAGGCCCATCCCCTCTCACAGGTTGTGGCTCTACCACTGTATGTGTTCTAGGTCACCTTCCCTTTCCAGGTGGCGGAGAATCCCTGGCCTCCCTCCTCCGCCCACCCCCAGCCCAACACGTCTGACTTTTGAGGTCAAAGATGGTAGAAAGTCAGTAGTTTGGAAACAGTATGTGTGTGGGGGGGGGGGGGGGTAGGTAGGGGGGTCCCAGCCATGTTTTCTAAGCTGCCCCCACCAAGAGGGAATATACAGACACCACCCTACTCACAGCCAAACTGAGATTTGAGGGAAGGGGTTCTGCCCACACCTTATATCAGCTCAGGGAGGAGGATACACCTGGGCCCGCTTCTGGAGCGCTGGCTCCAGTTTAGGGACTTCTAGGAATGTCTGCAGAATGTGAGGGGCAACCTCCCTGGTGGGTGCCCCAGCCCCCCACTCTCCCAGGCCTCCATGACTAGAGTCCGGACATCATCCAGGTGCCCAGGCTGGCTTACCTTTGAGGTTGGAGGTGCCAACAGTGGAGACAGCCGGGGAGGAGGACTGAGCAAAGCAGCTGAAGGCTGCCTGCTCGCTGGAGGACTCGTCCGAGGTGCCCGTGTCCTTTTTGTGTCGGTCCTCATACACCCTCATGGACTGGAGGGTGAGCTGTTTCCTGCAGAAGCCCACACCCAGCGTCAGCACAGATCGCCCGTCCCCCTGGCTCACCCCCTCCCCGGAGGCGCACACCTCACCCCCGGGCCACACTGACTCTGCCACCTGCCTGCCCCGGGGACAGCCACACAGGCCCACACATTGTTCTTGACCCTCTCCCTGGACTGAAGACGGTGGCCCAGGGGTGTCGGGTGGAATATGGCTTAAGGTGCATGCGTTCAAGATCAGGGTTGCATTAGGGAAAGGGCACGGGTGTGGGCTGTGATTTGGTTTAAAAACAAAAAGCCGACAAACTCCCCACTGGTGGCTAAGATGGGAGGAAGTGGTTATTTCACGCTGCACTTATCTGTGAAAAAAACCTATTTAGACGTTAGAAATTATTTTTTAGCGCCTGCCTTCCCTCAGGGGGTAGGTTAAAAATTTGGGTTAATTTTCTGGATTTTAGAAATTCTTTGAAAGCGGGTGGGGGAGGGGAGCTCCTTTCATAGACTCTCTAGCTGTCTGCTTGATGCAAAATGATCCCTGTACCCACAAAGGAGGGAGCCCCAGGTTGCTCCAGGGGCCTCCGTTCTGTCTGATGGTATTTGCAAAAATTCCAAAGCATTTCGTGAATGGCTTAGTTCTTTCCCGAGACCTGTCCAGGAGTAACTTCAATTAATTAGGAATTAATAGCATCTGTATATAACTGATTATCCCTGTCTCTTTTCTTCCCGGGAGAACCATGGTGTGGCCTACCTAACGTCCTTTAAGGTGACATGTAGGTGTTAGAAAAACCTGTATACAGAAACCAGCAAGCACGTGGCAGAGGGGAGTTCATGACCACCTTCCCCTCCCTGCCCTAATATAAGGGCCTGCACCCCACAGTTGAGACTTGGGACTTAGCAAAGTGATTTTTCTAAATTATCTGAGAAAGAAATAATTGTCTCAGCTCACCTTTTCTCTCTCCTGCCATTTCCAGTGTCCCGGAATCCTTTCGCAAAGGGGTTGTTGTCTATTTTTAACTGGGTTATCTGGAGGAGGACACACAAGCAAGAAAGACACGTTGGCCTCGTGTTCTAGAATGTTCTGTTTCCCTCAACTTAGCAGTTCACTAGAGATCTGACTGCCAACAGGAGAGGTCGCTGGGGTGTGCTAGGTTGAAGAGAAAGGGAGAGGGGTTACAGGCAGATGTGTGGAGGGGCTGGAGGTAAAAATCAAAGGGGACTCTTCCCCGTGTGCCTCTCCCATAGGGGGCCAAACCAGGACTCCACGCTGAAATGGCCCCACCTGGGAGATGCCTCATTCTTTTCTCGGGGCAGCCAACAGCTTGGGCTTAGAAATGGAAAAGTTGTCAGAATTGTCAAAAGGGACAACCTGTAGACTTTAAAGGTATGCTTTCATTTTGCGTTTTTTTAATGCCGTGCAATTAATCATCAGATGCGTTGTGGCACATTTCTTAGCCCCACACACAACACACACAAACGCGCACACACCGTACACGCCAACCTTTTTCTGTCAATCTAATGAGATGACTTATGGGGTTTTGCTACCCTTATGCCAGAGTGGGATTGATTTTTTTTTTTTTCCTGGGTGGGGTGGGTGTTTAAGGAGTTATAATATTGACAATTACAGATTTAAAAGGACTGGTGACCACTGGGAACATTTGTTTTCATTTATATGCTTCTGCCACAGCCACTAGGTAGAGAAGGCCCGTGGTCTCTTTGTCTGATCAAAATTGCTACAATTGATTATTACAGTAACAAGGTAAGAGTGTGGGGCTCTGGGGCTAGAGGGAGCGTGCGTTCTGTGGTACAAGGGGAAATGCCCTCTATGTCCTCTTCCAAATCCCTTCCCTTTGGGGGGATAATAATGTGCCTGGAGGTGGCAAAGGGCCCCCTGGCTGGATCCTTGTTCTTGGAATAAATGCTGGTGCGCTTAAGACTTGCAGGGACAGGAGGCCATGATACCTTAGTCCCAAGGCTCCACACCTGAAACAGCTGGCCCCAGAGGAACCTCCTACAGTGACAGTGAATTCAAAATGCGGGGTGTTGTCCCTGGAGCGGCACTCACACTGCGGACCAGGGTTCAGAAGTTGAATTGCAGGGGTCCTCAGCCGCCCCCTCCCCCCCTAACTGCCTGCTAAAAGTGTCTCTGTGCTCCACTCCGTGCCCATGACCTTCAGGCCACCATAACTGTACATACCAGGTGCTGCCTGCTGTTCCATTTGGGACACTCCTAATCCCCGGCCTCAGGCCCGGGGAGGGAAGAAGCAACTTCCAATGAAGTGGTGACTTTGGTCACCTCCTCTCAAAAGCTTCAGACAACTCAATTAGTATGACCCTGTGATCAGAGTAAGTTTTTCCAAACACACTCACACACACACACACGCACACACGCACACAGACACGACACACCATAAAAAACACAGCAGCATAGAAGGTAATAAAAACCAGACCAGCTCCTCGCGGATTTCTGGCTAAGAGAGAGAAGCGGCTCCACTGGGATTCTTCTCCCAGGATCCCCCCTGGCTTCTGCCTTAAATCTTTAGCTGGTTCCTTGGGAACCTGATTTCTTGATCCTTCTTCCTGAAGGGGAAGAGGATACAGCTCGGAGCAAACAGCAGAAAGCCCTGGGGTCAAGGGTGGGGGTGGGGCGGGTGGCATCAGAGGCTGGTCACTGGGAGCTTCTCGCCTGCAGTCAGTTTGGCATTTTTTTTCACTCCGCCCTGAATCCTAGCTGGTCAAGTGGGGTTTTTTTTTGTTGTTGTTTTCTTTTCTTTTCCTTCTGCCTCTGCAAGGTACCAGTTCCCCTTCCCCACTCCCCAAAGCTCCACGGACAGTCCAATGGCAAAAGAGAATGCAAGACCCCCATCCCAATTCTCACCCTCACCCAGAGCAGCTTAAAGGGCTGGCGCAGCCGCACCTTTAAGGCCCCAAAAAAGCGTCTCGGATTACCTTGTCATTCTGGTATGCTGTCACAGCGATGAACTCGGTTTCGGGGAACAAGTACGTCCGAAATGTACTATACGGAAGTTTCAGGATGTCATTGGCTCTCACGATATGAAATCGGGGCTGGTATTTGTGCATGGAGTTGAGTATAGTCTGCAGGGGCAGGCGGGGGGGAGAGAGACACAGCAAAAAGGGTGCTTAGCGGGACAAGCAGGGTCCTCGGACCCCTGCCAGGCTGACAGCTACCCCACCGGAGGGCACCGCGCTGGCACCGAGCCCCCCTCCAGGGAGCACCTCCTTGGGCACTTTGTCACTCGACAAATGTTATCTTCTGGAGAATCCAAATGGCTCGTCAGCTTCCAAAGGGTCCCCCCCACCCTCACCATCTCAGGTTCATCCGAACCTTGAACCCTAGCCTACCTGAGTACCAAAACTATAATTCCCCTGCCACGCTGCGTGATCGCTTGGGAAGGCCAAAGTCTTAAAAGATAGAAAAAAACATGCATTTTAATTTACAAAATGATTCAGTCCTTTAAGCGTCCACTAATTGACGAGCCCAATCCACTTAAAGCACAGAGAGGCTGAACTCCAGAGAGGAATATTTATGCCTTAATCAAATCAAGGGCTTCAAATGCAATTCCTGCCGCTGAAGAAATTTCCGCGCCCTCCTCGCCTTCCTGGGCCTAATCTTGCTGCTTATTGCTCGCTTATCACTGTTTATTTTTGTTGAAATGTTGGGGAGGGGTAGGGGCCGGGGGCAAAAGGTCCTTCGCTAGACTTTTACAAGCCATCCACGTCTCCGGGACGTTCCTAAGTATGCTCCCACCACATACATAAATATATATACTCCCAACACACACACAATTTTGATTCCATAGGTCAGTCTCATTTCTAATAAAACCTGACTTTCACCCAAGCCCAATTCTTTTCGAGTAAAAGAGGAAAAAAAAAAACACCAAAAAGGTCTTTCCAAAAATGCAATCACACCCTTTCATAACCTCCTAGAAGCCTCGAACTTTCACACTCTCCCAAGAAATACTATGGCTGATTTCAAAAGAGAAGAAGGATTATTTGAAAACCTTGATGAACACATCACTTTTTTTAAAACTGAGTTTCTAGCGATTGGTTTTGGACTTCCACTGTCAGGGCAGGCATTTCCCAAGCCCTACAACTGCCCCAGAACAGGAGCCCGTAGGTGCCCTTCTTTTAGAAAGGCTGGGCCTTCCCTTCTCCGGAGAGAAATACGCTCTGCTGCGGATCCAACAAGTTCCCTACCTTTGGCCACAGAGAGGGAGAGAGAAGCCTGAGATTTCACATGGCCTTTGCTAGAGCAGAGAGAGAGGACTTTTTACTGAAAGGAGCGATGAAACTTACAAATCCATGCTTGTCCGAAATGTTGTTGGTGAGTTTCAGTTTGTGGAAAGTGACAACTTTGGACATCCACTGTTCCCCGGTAGCCGGGCTGTCCGGGTGAATATACATTCTCTTTGGCATTTCAGGGTCAGCCTTACCCGCCACCATCCACCGGGAATTGTGAAATTTATACCGACAGTCATCGGCAGCTATAATGTCCATCAACAAAATATACTTGGCTTTTTTATCCAGCCCAGAACATCTTACTTTAAATGGCGGAAACATTCGCCTGCGATAAGAGAGATGGGAAAAGAAAGAAAAACAAGTCACTTAGCATCTTGGGTTTGACTCTCTATTTACCCTAAAATATTTAAATCAAATTTAAAATGCTCGGGTGAGCTTATCTGTTTCAGAGTGGAGCGGCTGGGCGCAACATAGTTTCCTTGCAACAGCAGAAGTATCAAACAGATTTTAACTTATCTTTAAATGTCTCAAGATTCAGAACAAGTGAGGGGTGGCGTTCCATTTCTCTACAGGGTCTCCTCACTTTATGTATTTTCCTGTCTGTGTGACTTCACAGGTTCTTGCCCCTGCCTTTTCCCGGGTCCAGCTCTACACCGCTCAGGGTAGGGATTTCAAAGTGCGGTCAGTTAAAGCCGGAATTTTTCACCGGTCGCCCAGGAGAAAATGTTTCACTTATCAAGGAAATGAACGTCCAGTTTATTCCGAAGCAGCCCGGCTTCAGAGCAGCAATCCGCTGCTGGCGAAAAATGAAACTGGACTTCGGCGCGTTCTAAAGCCGGATTTTGTAGCTTGGGGTGAACTCCCAGGCCCGATAACCAGCCCGCCCGGGCGCAGCTCACCACATTCCCCCACTGCACAGGCCAGTCCCAAACGGCCAGCCTGGGCCACCAAACCGCCGCCTGTTCCCCAGAAGTGCTGGGGTTCTATCCTCACGACTTAAAAGGAAGCACGTCTCGGGGAAACTGGCTAAATGTCTCCTGGGTTTGAGGATTTTTGTCCCGAACTTTGGCCTCAGGTGACTGGGATAGACAGAGAAAGCTGAAGACATCTTGAGCGGCATTTTATTTCTATTCTTCCAACTTTATGCCTTGATCGACTTCAAGGCCATAAAAAAAAAATCCGTGATTTTCAGGCAAGGACCTCATGTAAAATATGGTCGAGAATATTTACACACAAAACAGAAGCATGTGTCTAGGTCTCCCCAACTGGCTCCTTGAGTCTGCAAACATAGTCTTAATGATCCCCCAATCGCCGGCTGAACTCTCCCTTGGATTAGGGACACGTGAAGCTCGTGGACAAACAAACCCAGCTGCCCCGCGACTCCTCTCTGACCCGGCAGCCTCGGGCTCAGGGCCCCTCCAGCCCCAGAGGCCGGTCTGGTGGACAGAAAGGGCCGGGGGAGCTGGTGTCAGGCCTCCGGCTCCAACACAAAAGAAAGGGGCTTGAAGTTTTTGTCTGTGAGCACAAAATGAAGCAGACAAAAAACACAACATCAACAAAGCCAGAAGGATGTTCCAGAAAGGTTTGAACAGGGAGACTGCATGCTGTGGGGTGGGTTTCTTTCTTCCTGCAGAGGAGTCTGGGCTCTCCTTAAAACTCTATCCCGTCGGAAACGCAGGCTGCAGAGTTAGGCAGGGAACGCCAGCGCCGGCTGACACCCAGGTAAGCTGAAATCGCCTGCCACCGGGCAGGCCCGGAGTCTTTGCACAGTTCCAGGGGAACCCAAGTTTTCCCGTCAGCCACACGGACTGACGAACCCACTGTTCTAGGAGAAGAGAGGGAAAGGGAGGAAAAACCCTCCACGAGTCTGGGGAGGGGCCCTCTGCTCGCTTACCTTCCCGACTTGGTGATGACCATCTCCGTGCCCCGCTTGTGGAACTGATCCCAAAGTTCCTTCGCCTCGAGGTGCACCTTGGGGTCATCCTCCACCTCTTCTTCGGGCTCCATGGTCTTCAGAGGCCTCAGATGCGCCTGGGGCCCCAGGGACGAGAAAGGGATGCCGGTCTCGGCCGCCCCCACCAACTGATCCATGATCGGCTTGGCCAGAGCGCCGGGCAGCGAGAGCGCCGCGGCGCCGTTGGGAGGCAGAGTCAGCGCGGGGAAGAAGGGCGGCTGGTGCCCCAGCACCGCGCTCATGGCGAAGTCCGGCGCCCGGTGAGGTAGGAACGGATGGTAGGCCATGCTTGTCCCAGGAATGACCGGATCTCTCATGGAGAGATTCCTCCACTCCGGGCGGGGCGCTGGGCTTCCGCGGGCACGAGTCCGCAGCTGCTGTTTTGTTTTGATTAACAGCAGCGCATAGTTTTTAAAAAATAGGCGAAAAGAAAAAAAAATCGCAACCAAAGCACCTCGAAGGGAGGGTGTTCAGTGTCTCAAGTGTCTTTGGGGGAGGAGAACGCCGCTTTTAAAGGGGGCAAGGCGAGCGATCGGGAGACATGGTCGCGGGGTGACTGTCCTGGCGTCAGGCGTGTTTAGAAAGCCGCCCCTGCAAGTCGGTTTCGGAGGCGAGAGGAGCGAGCAGGCTGACGCCTCGCGCCCGAGCCCCGCTGCTCAGCTCCAAACGGACACGCAGCCCTGGGTCCCAGGGACCGCGCGCCCCAGCCCCCAGTTCTTTGTTGCAAACGCGAACGGTGCTCCTAGGAGACTTTTTCCCTTTTCTTCTCCTCCTTCGTCCCCCGCCCTCCTATCTCTGTTCCTCTCCCTTCCTCGCAGGAGGCGCCTGCAGTTGCGCTCGACCCGGCTTGCACCGCCGGCGAGACAGCGGAAAAAGTCTCTCTCCTTAAAAAAAAAAAAAAAAAGAAAGAAAAAAATCTCTGATTTAAGCCCTCTCCTAGCAGCGCTATCAAAACTTGAACTGCACACTGGCTTCCGTCCGCCTCCTCCTCCTCCTCCTTCCTCCGCTCCGAGCCGAGCCTCCGGAGGGTGTCCGGGTTTCAATCCGAATCTGGCCGTGCTCTGCTCCCGCGCCTGCCGTCTTCCGTGTCCTAAAACGTGAGCGAATTCGCTTCCTAAATCTGCGTCCAGACGCACAGGGTAGGGAGTCTGGAGGGAGGGGGGGGGGCGAGGAAAAAGGAGGGAGAGAGAAAGAGAGAAAGAGAGGGACGGAGTGGGAGAGGGAGCGCGAGGAGAGGGAGGGAGCGAGCCAGCCGGCGAGAGCTCCTCGCCACCCTCCACCGCCTCTAGAATTCCCCGGGCGTCTGCTCGGCGGCTCTAGAAGGTCGGGCTCTGCTCTGGGCCGCGGGGAGCCGGGGGCCTCTTGATTGGCTCTTTGACGCTTTCGGACCAATTGTGTTGCTGCATAGGCGTGGTTTTCACAGGTCGAGTGCTGGGAGGGATAGAGCCGAGTTATAAAAAGAAGGTGTCGGAAACTGTAACGTCGCTGCGCCGCATCGGTACTACTGCCTGTCCTGTGAATATGTCAACATGATCAGAGGGAGGGCGGGCGCCACTGGGGAGCGCGCGCACCGAGTCGCCTCTAGGTGGCTTATCGAGAGATCGCCGCAGCCCAGAGCTCGCCCGCCTGTTCTCGCTCAGCCCAAGTCTGAAATGCCTCAGTCATCCAGCCGGGGATCGAGGGAGGAGGCAGGGCCAGGGAGGAAGGGGAGGGAGGAGGGAGCGAGCGAGCCTGGCCAGGAAGGCGGAGAGGACGCCGGGCGCCGGGCAGGGGCGCTCGCCTCTCGCGCGCTCGGCTCGCCTCTCCGCCGCCGCGGCTGTTTCTCTCTCCCGCTTACCCTCTTACTCACCGGCCCCAGGCGGACCAGGCGGACGGCAGAGCCTCCTGCGAGCTGCCGTTCGGCCGCTGGGCGCAACAAAAGCCGGCTGCAGCCGCAGGGAGGAGAGCGCCCAGACTCCAGGCTTGCGCGCTCTCCGGCCCCACGTGGAGCCAAGCTCCGCCCGGCCCCCGCGCCAGGGCTCCCGAGCTCGGGTGTCTCTTTGCCGGTCTCCCCGGCATCTGGGATCGAAGACTCACGGGCACTCGGATGCAGCCAGATCTCGGCACACGCGTGCCGGGGCGCCCTCCTCACCGTACGGTACCCTACCCGAACCCGGGTGCGGCGACCCAAACACCCCCGGCACATCAGTACGCGAACACGCGTCAGCACCCCGGGACAAGCCCCCCGCAGAAAAACACGTACCCGCAAACACGTACACAGCCTGCGCCGCGGGCCCTGCCTGCGCTCACTCAGGGAGGCGACTGGGGGTTTTGTGAATTGCATTCAGCAGCCCTTTCAGATTCGGTCTTCGGTCTGGATTCGGGCTCCTCATGTTCCACCTGAAAGCGTGTGTGAGTGCAGAGGGGAGACCGGAGATCTGGGCACCGGGAGCGCGGCGCCGGCCCAGGTTCAGGGCCTGTCCGAGGCCAGCTCGCAGCGGAGCGGGGGTCGGGTGGACGGCGGGAGGGGGAGGTGCGCCAGCCCGTATCTTCTCCAGGCATCGCACTTATCTCTGGGTGCCTCCGTTCTTTCTCCACCCGGGACTTATCTCGCCAGTAGTCAGGGGTGAATTTGTAAAACAAACCGTGAAACGCCCCCACCCCAGAGGCCAGAGCCTGGTTCCAGTTCAGGGACGGTGGGGGCGTGCAGGGGAGGAAGGCAACCGACCTGACATCTCAAACTTGTCACGGAATAGCCAACTGTGACCAACTGTGACCGCAGGCCCCTGCCCGGGCAGGGGATTCCCTAAACCACATTCCTCGCTTCTGGGGGTGCCCTGAGTTGCCCCCTCTCCCCCCTGCTTGGAGGGAAGTCTGGGGACACTGTTGTTTTACTCTCCCCGAGGTGAGAGCTTCCCCGAGTGAGCAGAGAAAGGGCTGATTTCAGGGCCTAGGGGTGTCAGAAATGTGCTTGTTTCTGAGTGGACCCCACTGTCTTCTTTTTCATTTTGCCTTGCGTACCCCCTAGTCCCCCACCTCCAAACTCCCAAGTGGCAGCAAGTGGAGGGGGAAACGCCGTTCCTTTGTGGGCCACCCGCGCCAGGTCGCCAGGTCGGCGGCCTTTGGGGGCAGGAGCTGTTCCAGCGCCGCGTGTTTGATGCACATGGTTGAGAGCGCTTGGCGCCAGCCCGGGGAGTTCCCTCAGTCACAGAGAGAATGGAGTGGGTCTGCGGGCTCAGACTGGCGCGCCATCTCGCCCCCTTTCTTTTCCTTTGCGTCTTTCTCTGGCGGCCTTTCCGCCTCTCTCTGCCCGGCGGTTCAGAAGGCAGATCTAGAGACAAGAAAAGAGGCGGCGGGCCCAGGGTGTTCACTTGCAATGACCCCTCCGGCGTCACCAGCGGCTAGGCCTCCCCCCACCCCCCGCCTGCGCTAACCATTGAGCCCTGCAGGCTTTGGGATCCGCCCCCTCCGAATTGCTCGCCACCAGCCGGGGGGCAGCCTCCCTGCGCACTCAGGAGCCGCCCCAAACCCCCCAGAACGGGTTTGGCCTGCACCCGCGCTCCGAGTAGGAAAAAAGTAATCTTGCCACCAGGCTGTGACTCTGAGTCCAGCGGCAGAGGAGGGAGACAGTCACTCGGACCTGGAGACAGCCTGGCTCCCCTTCTGCTTCAGCCGTGGGAGGGGAGCTCGCTGATTTCACTTGTAAATATCTCCACTTGCCTTCGGCCCCAACGCGGACCCAACGTCACTTCTGCCCCTCGCGCGGCCCCTCCCCCGATGGCCTGTCTTTGCCCAGAGCTCTAACTTAACCCTGGGGTCACCTCGTTGCCACGCCTGACCCCCGAGTCCTACGCTAGCGTGCGAGGAAGGGGGTGAGGAAGAACGTTGGAGGGGTTCTGAATCGAAAACGTCGTCGACATCTTGCTAATGGTCTGCAAACTTCCGCCAATTATGACTGACCTCCCAGACTCGCCCCGGGAGGCTCGTATTCTGCGGGGAGGCCACGGCGACTGGGGATCAAAAGCGGGAAGGTGCGAACTCCCCTTTGTCTCCCGGGGCCGCCGCGCCCCCCTCCCGGTGGGTGATAAACCCGCTCTGGCGCCGGCCGTGCGCTGGTGATTAATTTGCAAACAAACAAAAGCGGCCTGGTGGCCGCCGCACTCGAGCTAAACACAGGCCAGCGCGGCCGAGGACCTGTGCCAGGCCCGGCCGCCAGGGGAACCCACAGGGCTGGCGCCCCCCAGCCCGGGTTGTAGGCTCCAGGCGCGGGCCCTGCACGGTCCTTTTTTTTTTTTTTTTTTTTTTCCCTCTTTCCCTCTATCTTCGCTCTCTCCTCGCCTCCTTGCTCCACAAAAGACACACGGGAAACGTGGACGACGGAGCCAGCCCTCCGCAGTCTGCGAAGTGGTGCCGTTAGGGCAGGAGAAGGGGGGCAAAGTGTGGGTCCAAGAGGCCCCCAGGAGCGGCTGGTGTCCTCCAACAGTCCTCCGCCTTTGGCAAGAAGAAATTGTCACTTGCTCGTAGGCCTGGTTTTTAGCAATAACAATAACCTTTGCATATCTGGTCATGCCCACGGCGTTTACTGTGTAGGAATAGTGTTGAGTGCAGACGCTCAAATGGGGGAGAGGCAGAGAAGTCTCGGAATAAATGTCGTCTGAACACACGCGCGCAATCAAATCCACGCGCAATCACAGCCGCGGCTCTCGGCCCAGGCCTGGGAGGCGGCGGCGATGCTAGTCTTGCCCACACGAGGCCGGGGACGCGTCTGCCGGCTCTCACCTTCCCCTGCTGCCTCCCACTGTAGAGGGGACAGGCCGACCCTTTTGTGACCGAGGGGTGTTTATCTTAAAGTTTACCAAAAAGGGGGGAGGCGAGGGAAGGGACGGTGGGGAGGCGGGGTCGTTTACTTTGGCAAGTTTGCTGTAAATATTCCCTTCAGCGCGTGTGAGGTCTGGCGCGGACGATTACACGCTTATTCCCTCTTCAACTTTCACCCCTGCTGGCCGGCAGCTTTTCCCGGTCCGAGGGCAGCGGCGGCGGGGACTGTTCGGACAGAGGAAGCCCGCGTTTCTCCAGGGCTCGGAGGCCTCATTACAAAGGTGCCTGGGGGCCGGTCACTGCATAAACTTTTACTGAGAAGGGGCTTCCTGGTCGCCTCCGATCCTGGCTCGTGGGATAGTGATACACGTGGAAACTGACCGGGGCTCCCTCCCGTTCTCCTAGGTGCTCAGTTACCCACAGGGGATGCGATTTCCTCTCACCAAGGATGCCAGGGCAGCAGCCCCCTGGGGGGCACCTAGCTCGCAGCCAGCACCCCCTCCCCACACAAGCAGTCCTGTGCTCCCCCCAAAGCCCGGCTCTCCCACACTCGCTTCTCAGTCCAGTGGAGGTCTTCTGTGCTGACCCGGAGGCTTGGTCTTGCTCCTGGAGCTTGTCATTCACCCCCCACCCCCACCGCAGCTTGCTCAAGAGCTCAGTTCCTTCCAACTAGGGAGGCTCAGGGGTCAGGGTCTTTGAACAAGGGTCAGCCTCCCTGTCTTTCCTGCACCCAGAGCCTCCTGGTTGGACCAGACAGGGTGCCCACCTTTTGTTCTCTCTCTCTCTCTCTCTTCTCCCCCTCCTCCCCCCTCCTCTCTCCCCCACCCCCTGTCTCTCTGTTCACCTCCTTTCAGGATTCTATTCTTCCTCTTCCACCTTCTCTCTCTCCCTCCCATCTATCTTGTTCTTGGTTTCTATTTCTCCTTCTTGTCTGCCTCTGTCCTCCAGCCTTTAACCACCACCACCACCCCCCCCCCATTTTCCCTTCAATCTCTTTTCTAGTCTTTCTCGCTCTTCTCCCTTTCTCTTTCCTCTGGCGTCCTTGTCTCCTCTGAAGCTCTCCTCCTGCCTTTCTGTGTTTCTAAATGGCCCCTGTGCCCCCCCCCCCCATCTTTTTCAGTTACCATGACAGGCTCGAGATGCCTCTTCACTGGGGCTTGAGCAAACGCCTTCCGCTGACACCCTTGGTCAGCACGATAAGGTGTCCTAACAGATAGACAAGGGTCGGGCCCCTTTGTCTAGGTTGTAAGTGTCACCTTCTCCATTTGGTATCCCCAAAGTCACCCTTTTCCCCAGAGCTGGCTCTCACCTCAGTTCCAATGTTCTGATCTCCCTCTCCTCTCCTCTCCTCTCCTCTCCTCTCCTCTCCTCTCCTCTCCTCTCCTCTCCTCTCCTCTCCTCTCCTCTCCTCTCCTCTCCTTCCCAAGGCAAGAGTTCAGAGTGAGGGAGGGCATGTTGGGGCCTTGCTCCTACCCTCCTTCTTGCCCCAGCAGCACAGGGCTCTCCTGTAAGACATTTCCCTGCCCCCTGACAGCCCTCTAAATTATTGATCAGGGCAATTCAGTGCAAGAGCCTGAAACGCGTGGGAGAGAGAAAATTGTCCAAGTTGTCTAGCTCGGGGAGGCAGTATTTTTAGGCCAGAGGCTCACTGAGGCGCCAGTGGGTTTCTGCTGTTTCTAGAGCATCCTTCCTTATACACTTAATCCACGCGTACCAAACCTCCTTTAAATATAAACAGGCTTTTGGCAGAGGCCCAATGAA